CAGCCCCAAAGACTTTAACTGCCACTTTCCCCAAGGAAAAGAGATGGAAATATACTATATAATCAAAGAGAATTGAACCCATAATAATGATTTTCCTGAATGTAGGCGATGATGAAACTTTTTAATGTATTTTCTAAAATTTGCGAAATCATTGTCATGGTCTTTAAGAGCAGGCTATAAAACAGAGAGCCAATGGGCTACCATCGTGCTTACAACAGGATGTTTAAACCCAGTGTAACTGGGTTAAGTATGTTACATCTAAAATAAATATCTTGAAGTGAATATAAGCACAATCTTCCTATACTGTAGGTGAAACAAAACCTTAAAAGAACAAGACCGTTTTTTTGGTTTGCAGTCAAGATCAATTGTTTCTTTCTCAGAAAAGATATATTTAAAAACATCCATCGATTTTTTGCTACCCTAGCCCTGGGCTCATGCCTCCTTCACGCTGAGACACCCGTGTCACCCCCCAGCTAGACTGGCTGCTCAGCCAGGGACACATTCTCTGAAATCCTCTGAAACCTGCTTAACTCCTCTATATAAAAACTACACATTCAGTCTGAAGTTGTCTGCCATAAAATATCTCAGAGGGGAGAAAAAGTGTAAGGGGATAATGAAACAAAATTAATAACTGCTGATAAATATCAATAACTGTTAAACTTGAGCGATAGGTACATGGGGGACACACTGTATTATTCTTTCTACTTTTGTGTATTTTGAAAACTTCCAAATAAGAGCTTAAGCAACAATAACAAAGATGACATGTCTGGTCACTTTCCACAGGGGACTGCTTAATACCCAGTAGCAATGAATGCATGAAAAGTAAGTAACACCAAGACTTCCCTGGTGGTGCAGTGGTTAAGAATCCACCTGCCAACGAAGGGAACATGGGTCCGAGCCCTGGTCCGGGAAAATCCCACATGCTGCGGAGCCACTAAGCCCATGCACCACAGCTACTAAGCCTGCGCTCTAGAGCCCACGAGCCACAACTACTGCAGCCCCTGTGCCTAGAGCCCGTGCTCTGCAACAAGAGAAGCCACCACAATGAGAAGCCCGCGCGCAGCAACAAAGACCCAACACAGCCCCCAAATAAATAAAATTTTAAAAGTAATTAACACCTTCTAATGAGCTACACATGCGAACTCGACCAGTAAGGACCCTGGGGGCCTTCGGGAGTGACTGGAATGTGAGGAGTATCGGAGAGTGTAGTGGGGAAAGACCCGGGAAAAGCAAATTTCAGGAGAGGGCTTAAATTAAACCATGATATGTAGGTCTTGAACTGGTTCTGAGTGTGCCCTGAAAGATTTATCTAGTATGTCCATTGTGAAGAAAAAACGGGAACTATCTCGCATTTCAATGACTGTAACAGCTATGACATTTCACGCCTAAGCATCATCTTTTCGGTGACCCGACCCGAGTGGTGACAAGGCCTGCCTGCAGGCCTGCAGCGGAGGGGCCTGGCAGGTGGGGCGGGGGCGCCTGGCAGGCCGTCCTCAGCAGCTCACCCCTCACTGCCGATCATGCAAGCCAGCCTGCTCCGTGCCAGGTGAGGAGCTTCGCTTCGGCAGAGCGTCTGAAAATGTCAACGTTATTCTTGTCTGAAACTCTCCCTGCCTTTTACATTTTAATTGCTGTATAAACTTTGCAAAGTATCTGAACGTGGTAAAGAGTTTTGTTCTGTTATTTTGGCACTTGCTGAAGCCGATCCCCATTTCTAGTAATTCTCTTTAGATTTCCTCAATAAAGATTAAATGTAAATAATGTGGGCAGTTTAAGGGAATTTAATGGTTCTAAAAAGTACGTGGGGTCAGCCTTACATAGCCTGAAGTTCTTGGTTCATGTGCAGGACATGAGGGCAATGCCTGTGGCTCAGCTTACATCCTTATAAAAATTACGCTAAGACCAGGACCGGTCTCAGACGTTTTGTGACCAAGCTTGTTTCTGAGTTAAAGCCTCCCAGCCCTCCTGTCTCCCCTTGGGCTGCACCCTGGCTAGACCTTCCCCACTTCGTCTTCCTTAACCGCTGCCTACCTTTTCTAATCCCATGCCCCTGCAACCCAAGGGGAACTTTTTGCTACTTGTCTCTTATCAACATTAGAAACCGGGCTTCCCTGGTGGCGCAGTGGTTTAGAGTCCGCCTGCCGATGCAGCGGACACGGGTTCGTGCCCCGGTCCAGGAAGATCCCACATGCCGCAGAGCGGCTGGGCCCGTGAGCCATGGCTGCTGAGCCTGAGCATCCGGAGCCTGTGCCCCGCAACGGGAGAGACCACAACAGTGACAGGCCTGCGTACCGCAAAAACAAACCAACCAACCAACTCCCTCACTAAAAAAATTAGAAACCTCAGAAGATTCCAAATCTTTTAGTATTTTGGGTGGTTTAAAGAAAAATGCATTACTCTTTTATAAATAAATTCCTAAAATAATTTGGGGCATTTTTATAGCAGTTTAAGGTTGATTTAGGATTATTTTATCTCGCCTGAGGGACCCAGCTGGCCCAATTCTAGAATACAAGGCCAGGAACCTTATTACAGGGGACATTGTGAGAAGGAAACAATCCCAGCTTCTGGGCACTGAATGAGAGCAGGCTGCAGGTGTTGAAGGAAGGTCAGTCCAGCAGGCTTGATACTGCACACAAAAATGTCAATAAATAGGTGTAGTTCACACACATGCGGTCCCACAGGAAAAGAGACTCGCCATAAAGTAGCAGGAGTGGTATCATGTGCAGACAGAACATGGCAAGAGGGAACCTGCGAGCAGGAACTCAACTTAGTTGTTGATCACTAGGGAGGCGGCACTGGGAAGAATGCCTGCAAGGTAGTAGGGCTTCATTTCTCCTAAGACAGACAGGGCAATAGTTTGGCAAAGCAGGTCTGAGAGGAATTTTGTGTACGAATAATGAAGACAAGTTTCCACTTCATGAAACTACAAGGTCTTAAACCAGCCTAGTCACTGCTCCTGAGATCCAAGGCCAATGCCCTAGTAATAGCAGCTCGAATACTGTAACAGGTTCCTGTTGCTGCACAAGACATTACTGCAAACCCAGTGGCTTAAAACAACAAACACCCACAGCTTCCTTGGGTCCGGAGTCTGGGTACTGGGTAGTTGGGTCCTCTGTTCAGGGTCTCACCAGGCTGAAATCAAGGTGTCGGCTGGAGCTGGGATCTCATCTGAGGCTCAGAATCCGCTTCCAATCTCATTCATGTGGTTTGCAGACTTCAGAGGCTTGTGGTTGTAAGAAGACCGAGGTTCTTGTTTTCTTGTTGGCTGTCAGCAGGGGGCGCTTTCAGCTCCTGAAAGCTGCCTTCAGGAGCTAGCCAATGGCACTTTCACAACAGAGCATCTTCGAATCCAGCAGGAGAGCCTTCCTCCACTTGGCTACAGTGGATTCTTACAAAGGTAACTTGAGCCCCAGAATGACTATTCCATCATCCTTGCCATATAATGTAACTTAATCAAGGGAATGACTATCTCATCATATTCACATGCACACCAGGGAGAGGGAATCTCAGGGGCCATTGTGGAGTTCTGCTGGACGATTCAAAACTGAGCCTATGTTTGCTGAGTGTTTATTAAATGCTCAGCACCATGCTGCAATTGGGGGTACAAAACTGAATGAAATAAATCAGGAATATAAGACAGATAGGGAAGCCCACGGACTAATGGAGGATGCAGAATTGAAAATTAATTCTAAAACAAGTTAGTATGTCTGTAATAGTTGAATGTGGAAATGACACAGACAAGATAGTCAAGGAAGTGAGGTATAGCTTGATAGGTGTTTTCTAGGCAGACAGTAAAGAAGAGGGCATTTCAGGCAGAAGGCATGTTTATCTACCAACATGTCTAAGAGGCTGTGAGTAGTGGGGCTTGAATGGGAAGGAGGGGCCTGAACAGATGTAAAGGGCCAGAACAGGAAGGACACAGAACTTAAGACTTCATCATGGACAGGAACCACCAAGGAACTTGTGAAGGGATATTAGTACATTAAGGTCACAGAGACCAAGTTACAGAAAGATAAAAAAAACTGACGCCACAAAAATAAGAAAAATTTCAACATAAATAAGCAGAAGTGAAAAGCAAAAGTCTCATACAAATTGATAACAAAAGACCAATATCCAACAGAAAATGAGCAAAAGAAAAAGCAATTAATAGAAGACACAAAAGGCTGATAAACATAGAGAAGAGTGTTTAACATCACTTGTGATTAAGAAAGTGAAGATTCAAATAGTGAAACATCATTTTCACTATGAAATTGTTAGGATAACAGATATACAAAACATGTATACTTACTTAGATTATTGAAGGACAATACATCAAAGGGTAAGCAGGTGTAGAGGTTTTATAGACAATTCTTGTTTTCTTCTTTATACTGTTTTCTAAATTTCCCCAATGAACTTGTATAAATTCTTAAAATAGTACCTAACATATTCATTTATTTTAAGAGAGAAAAAGCGTCTAATGAGAAACCGCAGTCCCTGTCCACCCAACTCGCCTCCAGAGGCAACTACTTTCAGCTCCTCTAGTGTGCACTGCTCCAGGTGGTTTACATGTATTCACTCGTTTAATCTTCTCAAATGTCCTACGAGGTGGAACTAGGATTATCCCCAATTTACACATAAGGATACTGAAGCACACAGAAGTTAAATAATTTACCCAAGGTCACATAAGCTAGTAAGTAGTGGAGCTGGGATCTGAACCCAAGTAAACTGGCTCCAGAGTTAAAGATTTTCTGCTGTTACTGTGGCCTTACCAAACTATAATGCATTACTTAACTCATATTTAAAAAGTCACTATTACCTAGCACATGGCAATAAAATCGTTTTTTAAAAAAGTTGTTTTATTTACATTTGTATCTTATAAGCAACTTAAACTGAAACATGATGAAATAAAAGTTTGCAGCTCTAATCATCACTTAAATATCCCAATACATTTAAATTAAAATTAATGTGCTAATATTTGCTCTTTCTTGATTTATAACAGCATATTTTCTTACAAACCTATCATATATATTTTTAAACACATTATAGAAATTAGATGACTTAAAGGATATACAGAAAGAAAATAATCAAAAATAAGTTAATTCAGATGTACACAATCAGAAAAAGATACTGAAGTTAACGAATATGTGGCTTAAAAATCAATACAGCGTCCTTTTCGTTCCCAATCTCCATATCGGGTAGGTTCTGGGCCCCTGGGTCCACTTCTTTCTTTGGTAACAGGATTAACATCATCTGGAAATTCTGAAGAAAGAGATGTAAAAAAAAGCAGTCAATGGAGATGGGAAAAGCATTATGGTCAATTCTGCAGACGAGGCTGCAGAGCTGACAGTTAACAGGCTGCATGCTACTGATGAGGCTACTACTATGCAGTCGTTAAACAAACTCTCCCCAGAGAGTTGTTCCTCTCCCCAGTTTGAGAAATCACTTTAGCATCCAATCTTCATATCCAATCTACTTTATTTCCTGCATTAGTGACTTAGAATTCTCAGAGGACTCTCAGGCCCTCATCTGAGGAGTGGCTGGGTTAGAACAGAAGGAAAGGGGTGCAGAGAATACAAAGTACAAATCCACAGGGTTTGGAAGGTTTTGAAACAAGATTACTTTGAAGATTACTTTAATTCAATGCCTTATCTTTTGTAACAGTGAAGTGGGTACAACAATCATACCTGCCTTACTATCTTGAGAAATAAAAAAAGAAATGCATGTAAAAGGTCTAGCACAGTGCCAGCTACATAAGAATGCTCAAATAATTTTAGCTATGAGTATTAATTTTCCTCATCATATAGTTTTGGCTTCAGCAACTGGTTCCTGGAAACTGCCACTTATGGGCATAACAGCTGTTATTATTGTTAACAGTGTATGTTCATAATAGGATTTTCCGTTTTGAGTCAGGCCCAATTCTGAGGACTTTATACATATTAATTCATTTAACCCTCATAATAATCCTTTGGGACAGGAACAATTATTGTTTCCATTTTATAGATGAGGAAGACGAAACTAAGTGATGAAACTGAGTTTGAATTCACACATTCTGGCTGCACTCTTGCTCTCAGTACATACACTGTACTGATCTGTACACAGGAAGATCAGGAGAGGAACCAGCTATTAGAAAGAATCCCAATTCTTAAACAATGTCTAATCACTCATTCATTTTCTTTGACGTATAGGTGATTTACCATATTGTATTATTTTCAGGTGTACAGTACAGTGATTCAGTTATTTTTACAGATTATACTCCAGGAAAAGGTATTATAAGATAAAGGCAATAATTCCCTGTGCTATATATCATTGTTGCTTATACAATTTATACACAGTAGTTTGTACCTCTTAATCCCATACCCCTATCTTGGCCCCCCCTTCCCTCTCCCCACTGGGAACCACTAGTTAGTTTTCTATACTGTGAGTCTGTTACTGTTTTGCTATATACACTGTTTATTTTTTAGGTTCCACATGTAAGTGATAGAGTATTTGTCTTTCTCTGATTTTTTCACTATGCATAATATTCTCGAGGTCCATCCACGCTGTTGCAAATGGCAGATTTCATTCTTTTTAATGGCTGAGTAATATTCGTGTGTGTGTGTGTGTGTGTGTGTGTGTGTGTGTGTGTGTGTGTGTGTGTCTTCTTTATCCATTCATCTGTTGGTCGCTTAAGTTGCTTCCATATCTTGGCTATTGTAAATAATGCTGCTATGAACGCTGGGGTGCTCGTATCTCTTCAAATTAGTGTTTTCATTTCCTTTGGATATGTACATAGTAGTGGAATTGCTGGGTCATATGGTAGTTCTATTTTCAGCTTTCTGAGGAACCTCCATAATGTTTTCCATATTGGATGCACCAATTTACATTCCCACCAACAGTGTAAGGAGGGTTCCCTTTTCTCCACACCCTCTCTAGCATTTATTATTTGTTGACTTTTTGATGATGGCCATTCTGACCAGTGTGAGGTGGTACCCCACTGTAGTTTTGATTTGAAATTCTCTAATAATTACTGATGTTGAGCATTTTTTCATGTGCCTGTTGGCCATGTGTATGTCTTCTTTGGAAAAATGTCTATTCAGGTCTTCTGCCCATTTTTTGATTCGACTGTGTTTTTATATTGAGTTGTATGAGCTGTTTATATATTTTGGATATTAACACTGTGTTGGTCACATCGTTTGCAAATATTTTCTCTCATTCACAGGTTGTCTTTTTGTTTTGCCCACGGTTCCTTAACTGTGCAAAAGTTTTTAAGTTTAATTAGGTTCCATCTGTTTATTTCTTTTGCCTTATGAGACAGATCCAAAAAAATATTGCTACAATTTATGTCAAAGAGTGTTCTGCCTATGTTCTCTTCTATGAGTTTTATGGCTTCAGGTCTTACATTTAGATATTTAGTCCATTGAGTTTATTTTTGTATACGGTGTGAGGAAATGTTCTAATCTCATTCTTTTACATGTAGCTGTCCAGTTTTCCCAGCACAACTTACTGAAGAGATTGTCTTCTTCCATTGTATATTCTTGCATCCTTTGTTGTAGATTAATTGACCGAAGGTTCATGGGTTTACTTCTGGGATCTACTGTACTTTTCAAGGGACTGTACTGTAAGATTAAAAATGTTTTCTTTTTTTGTGTGTGTTTGTTTTTTATGTATTATTTGTGTGAAAAGTATTATAAACCTATTACAGTACAGTACTATATAGCCGATCGTGTTAGTTGGGTACCAAGGCTAACTCTGTTGGACTTACGAACAAATTGGACTTACGAATGTGCTCTTGGAACAGAACTCATTTGTATATAAAGGACTTACTGTATGGTAATTTTATTCATTGTTGAAATATTCTTTATTACTGTCAATGAAGAATTATAAACAATAACATGCTTCCTTCCTTTCACTTGCTTCTCAATGACAGAAACACTTTCTTTGAGACCAAAAATTAAGAGAGGAGGTTTACTCTACTCACTTGTCAGTGGTTCTTTCTCTAAATTGGAATCTTCTGGTGCATCAAAACGACCTTCTGGTAACTTTGGCTTCTTAAGGGGTTGTTTGATGGGTTTGGATTTTTCTCCTTGAGAACTTATTTTCCTCAAAGAATGACACAGAATGGGTGATCCTAGCAGAGTGAAGACAGTGAAAAAATAGGAGCTGTTCATTTATTCTACTTCAAAATGTAATACTTTTACTTGTGTTAAGCTTACACATTCACAGTTATCAAAATTAAAAAGTACAGAAGGACACACAGTGACAACCCTTTCCTCTGCCCCTATCTTTCAGACGGCCAGTTCCTTTCCTTGGAGGCAATCAATGCTATCAGTTTGAAAAGAAGAGCTTTGAAATGAGTTAGTTAACCATTAACAAAATTGCAAAAACAGATATAAAATGCGGATTCCTGGGACTTCCCTGGTGGCGCAGTTGTTAATAATCCACCTGCCAATGCAGGGGACACAGGTTCGAGCCCTGGTCCAGGAAGATACCACATGCTGCAGAGCAACTAAGCCCGTGTGCCACAACTACTGAGCCTGCACTCTAGAGACCATGCTCTACAACTACTGAGCCCACGCACCACAACTACTGAGGCCTGTGCGCCTAGAGCCTGTGCTCTGCAACGAGACGCCACCATGATGAGAAGCCCACACACCGTAACAAAGAGTAGCCCTTGCTCGCCGCAACTAGAGAAAGCCTGTGCACAGCAATGAAGACTCAACAAGGTGAAAAATAAATAATAAAATAAATTTATTTTTAAAACATTAAATAATAAAATAAAATAAAATAAAATAAAATATGGATTCCTGTCTGAAGCAATGCCAAAAATACCAGGAATCAGATCATTAAGAGTAACTAAGTAGTAGGAACTTTTCAATGACAATATTTACTATTTAAATCTCTGTAAGTCACAAGGCACTGTATTTAGTATTCTTATATTTAAATCCTAATCATGGCCCTCTTTTTCTGCCAATTAAACATCTTAAACTGTATTGGGCACCTGCAATTTATAAATGAGCTCACTTTCTAGGTTACAATGAGAAAGGTAAGCTTTCAGTATTATGAAAGTTATCCAACCTTTGTTGAGATAATGTTCAGTAAGGGCAAAACCACTCTGAAAAATGACCTCAGGGTTGGGGTCTTCAACTTCCTGAAGGAAGAGCTTTAGAGGCAGACAGAGGTGGGTACCAGTTCTGGTCACACCACTGTGGCAGGCACAGTAATGGCCCCCAAAGAGGGTGAGAACCTAATATCTGGAAACTATGTGCAGGCTAGGTCACATGGTGAAGGAGAATTAGGTAAGAGATGGAACTGAAGTTGCTCTTCAGATGACCCTGAACTAGGTAGAGTGCCCTGGATTACCTGGGTGGGTCCACTGTCATCACAGGGGTCCTTAAAAGGGGAAGAGAGAACTGGAAGAGAGAACCAGAGAGGTGGCAGTGAGAGACAGACTTGATGATGTTGCTGGCTCTAAAGATGGAGGAAAGGGCCACCAAGTCCAGGAACTTGGGCAGCCTCTGGAAGATGGAAAAGGGAGGAAACAGATTCTCCCCTAGAGCACCCAGAATAAACACAACCCTAACACCTTGGTTTCAGCACAGAGACCCATTTCAGACTTCTCACTTCTGGAACTGTAAGGATTTTTAAGCCACTAAGTTTGTGGTAATTTGTTACACCAGCAATAAGAAACTAAAACAAATACTTACTAGTTGTTTGATCTTTGTCAAGTTATTTACCCTTTCTAAATCCATTTCTTCCCCACTAAATTGAATATAACACTATCTACCTCATGAGGTTACTAAATAGATTAAACAGGACAATTCAGGCAAAGCACTTAGCACAGTGACAGACTGTATCTATTATTATTATTATTATAGAATTATCTGGAAGCTCCTGATAGCATTACATGTAGTTAGGATTTTCTTTCACTACATGTATTTTATTCATATCCCAACAATGACTACATCACCCTACCCCCTGCTTTAAAAAATTATATATATATACACACACACACATACACACATGCAAATATATATGCACAAGTATTTGTTTGTATGTATATATGTCTCCATGTATATATATATATACACCCTCCACAGCCAATTTGGAATTTACATTGACTTGTTTGTAAGATTACATAAAGTTAACATTACATACAAACTGCATTAACAATTTCAAAATAGTACATCAGGCTGTTAATTTGCACGTCCACTGCATATATCTCAGTGTCTAGCAACATTGTTGATTGTCTGAATGTCCAATTGTAATGCAGATTAGTCTTCAGCCAACAAAATTCAAGGATTAAGAAAATAAATATACAACTGAATGTATTAAGAAAGCTGCAACGACTTACAGAATTAATATAGACTTCTCCCATCTAAACACTCACTTACATAAAATACTTCACATTTATGATACTAATCGGCTGAGAAGAATCTGTGAATCAATAAAAATTTCTATACATATTAAAATAAAAACACCTAAAATTTTAATGTATGTATTGAGTTAGACTACAGACCATTTTGCCTTCAAACTTCCACTTCAATATTTAAGGGCATATTTTACTTTTAATTATGTCCTCAAAATAATACTTAGTTAAGCATTCACTAAATATCAAGAGAAAAATCTGCAAAAAAATATCTTGTAAAGCTGCATTTATTTTTATTAAGAAACTATATGGGGGCTTCCCTGGTGGTGCAGTGGTTAAGAATCCGCCTGCCAATGTAGGGGGCATGGGTTTGAGCACGGGGCCGGGAAGATCCCACATGCCGTGGAGCAACTAAGCCCGTGCACCACAACTACTGAGCCTGTGCTCTAGAGCCCGCGAGGCACAACTACTGAGCCCGCATGCCTCAACTACTGAAGCCCAAATGCCCAGAGCCCGTGCTCTGCAACAAAAGAAGCCACTGCAATGAGAAGCCTGTGCACTGCAACAAAAAGCAGCCCCCGCTCACAGCAAGTAGAGAAAGCCCTGCGTGCAGCAACGAAGACCCAACACAGCCAAAAATAAAAATAAATAAATTTATTAAAAAAAAAAAGAAATTATATGGGTAAAAGAAATATGAGTTTCTGATCGTACTAATATATTTCTTATAATAATCTGTTCTTTGTTTTTTGTGGTTGACTATTTAGAAAAATATTATATTGAAAATGTTGGTGAATATAAACCATGCACAACTGAAAGACATTCTAGGTCCCAAATCACACAGATGTCCATGCTTGCCACTATTATTCAACATAGTTTTGGAAGTCCTAGCCACAGCAATCAGAGAAGAAAAAGAAATAAATGGAATACAAATTGGAAAAGAAGAAGTAACACTGTCACTGTTTGCAGATGACATGATACTATACATAGAGAATCCTAAAGATGTCACCAGAAAACTACTAGAGCTAATCAATGAATTTCATAAAGTTGCAGGATACAAATTTAATGCACAGAAATCTCTTGCATTCCTATACACTAAGAACAAAAGATCAGAAAGAGAAATTAAGGAAACAATCCCATTCACCACGGCAACAAAAAGAATAAAATACCTAGGAATAAACCTACCTAAAGAGGTAAAAGACCTGTACTCAGAAAACTGTAAGACACTGATGAAAGAAATCAAAGATGACACAAACAGATGGAGAGATACGCCATGTTCCTAGATTGAAAGAATCAATATTGTGAAAATGACTATACTGCCCAAAGCAATCTACAGATTCAATGCAATCCCTATCAAATTACCAGTGGCAGTTTTTACAGAACTGGAACAAAAAATCTTAAAATTTGTCTGGAGACACAAAAGAACCCCAATAGCCAAAGCAGTCTTGAGGGAGAAAAACTGGAGCTGGAGGAATCAGACTCCCTGACTTCAGACTATACTACAAAGTTACAGTGATCAAGACAATATGGTACTAGCACAAAAACAGAAATATAGATCAATGGAATAGGACAGAAAGCTCAGATATAAACCTACGCACCTATGGTCAACAAAGGAGGCAAGGATATACAACGGAGAAAAGACAGTCTCTTCAATAGTGGTGCTGGGAAAACTGGACAGCCAAATGTAAAGGCATGAAATTAGAACACTCCCCAATACCATACACAAAAATAAACTCAAAATGGATTAAAGACCTAAATATAAGGCGAGACACTATAAAACTCTTAGAGGAAAACATAGGAAGAACACTCTTTGACATAACTCACAGTAAGATCTTTTTGATCCACCTCCTAGAGTAATGGAAATAAAAACAAAAAGAAACAAATTGGACCTAATGAAACTTAAAAGCTTTTGCAAAGCAAAGGAAACTACAAACAAGATGAAAAGACAACCCTCAGAATGGGAGAAAATATTTGCAAATGAATCAACTGACAAAGGATTAATCTCCAAAATATATAAACAGCTCATGCAGTTCAATATTAAAGAAACAAACAATGCAATGAAAAAATGGGCAGAAGACCTAAACAGACATTTCTCCAAAGAAGATGGACAGATGGCCAAGAAGCACATGAAAAGCTGCTCAACATCACTAATTATTAGAGAAATGCAAATCAAAACTACAATGAGATATCACCTCACACCAGTCAGAATGGGCATCATCAGAAAATCTACAAACAACAAATGCTGGAGAGGGTGTGGAGAAAAGGGAACCCTCTTGCACTGTTGGTGGGAATGTAAACTGATACAGCCACTATGGAGAACAGTATAGAGGTTCCTTAAAAAACTAAAAATAGAATTACCATATGATCCAGCAATCCCACTGCTGGGCATATACCCAGAGAAAACCATAATTCAAAAAGACACATGTACCCCAATGTTCACTGCAGCATTAATTACGATAGCCAGGTAATGGAAGCAACCTCTATGCCCATCGACAGACGAATGGAGAAAGAAGATGTGGTACATATATACGATGGAATATTACTCAGGCATAAAAGGGAATGAAATTGGGTCATTTGTAGAGACATGGATGGATCTAAAGACTGTCATACAGAGGGAAGTAAGCCGGAAAGAGAAAAACAAATATCGTACATTAATACATATATGTGGAACCTAGGAAAATGGTACAAATCAATTGGCTTGCAGGGCAGAAATAGAGACACAGATGTAGAGAACAAACATATGGACACCAAGGGGGAGAAGTGGC